GTTAGAAACCCGTATGTTAAAACCGATGAAGATTTGGATTTATTGACCGATAAGGGTATTTATCCCTATGACTACTTTGATGATTTTGAAAGATTTAAGGAAAGGGCTTTACCACCGAAAGAAGCGTTTTACAGTAAATTGAGTGAAGAACATGTAAGTGATAAAGATTATGAAAGGGCACTGAAAGTATGGAAGCACTTCGGGATTAGAACACTCGGGCAGTATCACGACTTGTATTTAAGAACTGATGTTTTAGAGACTTGTGTATGGAATACTACGGTTTAGACCCCGCTCATTATTATACGTTACCAAATTTCGCATGGGACGCGATGCTTCTAAAAACTGGTGTTGAAATAGAACAATTGCATGACCAAGAAATGTTTGAGATGGTTGAAAAGGGAATGAGAGGTGGTATGTGTCAGGTAAGTCATAAATTAGCGGTGGCAAATAATAAGTATATGGGGGAAGCATATGATGAGAACAAGCCATCAAATTATATTAGTTACTTGGATGCTAATAACTTGTATGGTTTGGCAATGTCCCAGAAGTTACCGCTAAAAAATATCAAGTGGGCAAAGAAAACACCCAGTGTTGAAAAATGGAATGAAAGCGATGAGTTCGGTTATATTATGGAAGTTGATTTGGAATATCCCGAAACATTGCATGATTTCCACTCCGACTATCCACTAGCTCCTGAAATAATGAATGTAAATGTGAATATGCTTTCCGACTATCAAAAGCAAGTCTATAAAATATATTATGATGGTAAAAGTCCCAAGGACGAGAAAACAAGTAAGTTAATATTAAATCTAAAGGATAAAGAAAAATATGTGGTTCATATCAAGACTTTACAGTATTATTTGAAAATGGGAATGAAAATGGGTAAAGTCCATAGGATAATAAAATTTCAACAGAGGGCATGGTTGAAACCGTGGATTGACTTCAACACTGGTAAAAGGAAAGAAGCCAAAAGCGATTTTGAGAAAGATTTATTCAAATTAATGAATAACGCGGTGTACGGAAAAACTATGGAAGACAAGCGAAACCATATGGATTTTGAATTAGTTGATAATGAGGTAAGATATGAAAAGTGTGTTAATAATCCAACATTCAAAAACAGATTTATTATTAATGAAAATCTCGTAGGAGTTGAAAAAACTAAAGCGAAGCTGAAATTGGATAAGCCGATTTTCCTGGGAATGAGCATTTTAGATTTAAGCAAATTACATATGTATCAGTTTTACTATGATGTATTGAAAAAGAAGTATAATGAAAACATAAAACTGGTTTATACTGATACTGACAGTTATGTAATTCAAACAATGACTGATGATGTCTATAAGGATTTCAATGATATAAAGCAACACATGGATTTTAGCGACTATCCTGTTGAGCATCCATGTCATGACAAAACTAATAAGAAGGTCTTAGGAATGTACAAAGATGAAGTCAATGGAAAAATCATTACTAAATTCATCGGATTGAAACCTAAATCTTATGCCTTCACAATTCACGGTGAGGATGATGAACATAAGAAATCAAAAGGTGTAGTGAAACACAAAGTGAAAAAAGAACTGTCGTATCAGAACTATCACGAAGCATTGTTTCAAAACAAAAAGCATGAAATCACATATCATTTCAGCAGAAGTAAGTCGCATCAAATATATTCAATGTCTCAAGTAAAGCAATCTCTCAGTAATTACGAAAATAAAAGGTTTTATATTGATGCTTTCACTTCATTACCATATGTACATTACGCTATTACAAAGTAATAGCCTAATGAGCTTCGCGACATTACTCCATAAAATAATTATCTAAATAGTTCTAATAATATGAAATTATTAGAATTATTTTCTCCATAATCTTTACCAAATATAGTTAAAGAATACATTGTATCTTATAATAATCAAGACTATGGAAAACATAGAAGCAGAAATCATCAAGGGTCAAATCTATGTCATCAAAAACACATTGAACAACAAAATATACATTGGAAGCACTAAACAAACACTACACAAACGGATGGCAAAGCATAGGCATGATGCTAAACATTGTGGAAAAATGCTGATACATCAAGAAATGAACAGACTTGGTATAGACAATTTCTTCGTTGAGCATTTGGAGAATTTTGAATATCACAACTTACAACAACTACGAAAAAGAGAAGGTGATATAATAGCTGAACAGCAGGCAGAACTAAATGAAAGAAAGGCAGGAAGAAACACACAAGAATATTACATAGATAAAAAGGACATGTTCAAACAGCGATATTTCAACAATATTGATACAATAAAAGCACGCGACAAAGAACGCTATGAAAGAGACAAAGACAAAATCAATCAACGAAAGAAGAAACATCGTGAAACACATATAGAGACATACAAAGAAAGAGACAAACAGTATTACTACGAGAACAAAGACAAGCGACTACAAAACCACAAAGCGTATGTTGAAGCAAACCCAGAGAAAATGAAAGATTACTATCACCAGTATTACCTAAAAAACCGTGAAAAGAAACAGGAATACAATAGACTACGCTACAACCAACTGAAGCTGGAGAAGGAAGCGAACAAGGCTTTGGACTAACATTGAAACATGGAAACCCAGACCATTATGTAATAGGGATTGTGGGAAAATTAGGAATGGGAAACATTTAGAAACTGCTCAACGGTTGCCATCGGGTAAAAAATCAGATTGGGGTGAGGGATACATCAAACATAAACAAGATGAGTTATACAAAAGTCCTACTGATTTGATTAGTGATATACGTGTTAAAACCCACCCAACCCTCTTCATGAGCAAGACCTTTTTGTAGCATGTCCATCGAGCAACTTCTTCAGGTTTCTGATGTGAGTGTCCTTATTGCATGACCACGCAATAACCACGGCAAAGACCCGCAATAAGCATTGCAAAATGGTTTTTTGTAGGGTTTTTTCCCTTTGAAAAAAGACACCTTGCAATAACCCTTTTGTGGCTCATTTTGAAGGAAAAGTCAATTCATTGCAACCCAACGCAATAACCATTGCAATAGGCGGTTTTCAGGGTCAAAAAGCACTGTTTGCAATAACCAAGGTGGTCACTCGCAATAAGTGCTCACAAAGAGGAACTCCTAATTACAATAGAAAAGATGGTGAAAGAAATAAAGGGTACAATAAGATTAGTCAATAGACCACTTGTGATGATAGACTTTATCAAATATGAAATTCATACAATTAATAATTATGAAATATGATGTTTGTTTATTCATAATATTTAATTATAATATGATTAAACATTGCTTTATAATCTAACAAGAAGGTTAAGACATTTAAATTAAACCTGAAACCCAGACCAGCCGACCAGCAACCCCCTAGCCAAAACTACTTACAGAAATATTACCTTATATATTAAGAGAAAAATGAACGGTGATGGAATCAATAATTATATCGATAAAAAATGCTATGATTGTTGTCACTTCAAAAAAGAAAATATGGAATTGTATAAATTGAGTTTACCTAATGAAATAGTGAATAATATTATTAATTATTCAATGGATGGTGAAGAAGACATATGTAAAAATTGTAAAACATGGAGAGATAATCAATTTTTAATCAAATGTCTGTTGGGAATAAAAAGAATACATAATAGAAATGTAGAAGATGATATTTTAATATTTCTAACTGTAAATAAAATACCACCTTACGATTGTGTTAAACAGTTTCTTAAAATCAGTAAGAAAAAATATGAAATGATTGATGATATATTGTGGATGTTGGGTTATAGTCAAGAGAAAGGAGAAGATGTTAAAGAAAATATCAAATTATTTATTGAAAGTAAAAAGTTTAATGTTCAGAATACAGTGAGAGATGTTAATATTATTTTTAAAATGATGTATGAAAGAAGTAAGACAAACCAATTAGATTATTATCCTGAACTGAAATTATAATCATAATATAATAATAACATGTAAAATCTTATATGTTATAATTATACTGAACTTTTAACCTATAAAACATAGCTAGACAATCACATAAAAATCACATAAAAAGAAGTTGTTAAGATATATTAAGAATGGTTGTGAAGCAAACTATAATGAATAATTATGGAATGACAGAAGAAAAAGCAACAGAAGACTATGGTGAATTCTTCAAATGTAACAGATGCCTTTATGATAAAACAATTGATGAATTTGGAAATGTAAAAAGTGGAAAAGATATAAATATTGTCAAGAGTGTAGAACGAAAATAAATAATTGTAGAGATAAACGTCAAAGAAAACAAACGACCCACCAACACCCCAGAACTTGATAACTACTAAAAGGGTTAACTCTTTCAAATGAAAAAAATGTCGGCCCCCAGCCCAACAATGAACAAGGGGACAATTTACCCAAATGATTACCTTAACGAAAACGATAAATAAGCTCCCTAAAAACCCTCTTTTAAAAACGAATAAGGTGGTTAATAGGTTTGAGATGAATATAAAAAACATAACAGGGGACCATCAACAGACCACCCCCCAGGCCCCCTACTTTCTCCATTTTTTAGGGAGGGGAGTAAAAAGAGGGAGGGCGGAGAACTTGATAAGGGGGAGGGGGGAGGGGAGGGGAGAAGGATGGAGAGGAGGGGAGGGGAGGGGAGGGGGATGGGAGCGTGAGGGGGGGGGGGGGGAGAGGGAGGGGTCTTGCGGGCTTTTAGAGTCTTGTTCGTTGTCTATTTTGACGGTACCTTTGTCTTGTGTTGGTACTTTACATGTACTTTTCTTTTCTTTTGCTTTTCTTTGTCTTTTCTTTGCTTTTACTTTTCTTTCTTTGCTTTTCTTTTTCGTTCTTCGCTGTTTCCCGCTGGCCCCTCTACTCTCCATCCCCCCAAGTCACACCCCTCCCCCCCATCCTGTCCTCGCACCCGTCGCCACACCCCCACCCCCCAAATCTCAGTAAAAAGATAAAAGACCCACACCACCCACTACCCCCCCCCACAGACAACCCCCCCCCAACCTCCCTACACCCACCAGAGCCAAGTCGCAAGCCACCCCGGCCGCAGGCCGCCGCCCACTGGAGCAGTCGCCGGCACCCTGCTTCGCCGGCCGGGAGCCGACTCAGCACCAAAATCCCCCGCCCGAATTGGCCCGAGCTGGGCTTCAGGAGCCACAGGTTCGCGCCCAGCAGCTCTGCCTGACCCCGGGTCGTTGGGTGGGCTTTTCGGGGGGGATGTTGCGTCGGGGATGATGCGCCACCCATGCAATCAGCAACTCAGTACGGCAACAAACGCCCCAAAAAGGCCCTCCTTCCGGGTGCTTTTTGTTGGGAAGATGGTAAATTGATGATTTTACCGGTAGTCATCTTTGCAATCAGCAACTCAATCCACCCCACGTGTTGCTTGTGGATGGGATTCAAGTGGGCTCCACGTCTTTTGCGTCCTAGAAACAGCTTGTCACATACCGGACATCAAGTAGAAGTAATGAAATATCTGAACAAACATGTCTGCGGAGCTCGCAGATACATCTCTAAGAGAATAACTTCATGCACCTAAGATGCATTGGCGGCCCTCCTGTAGCCGAATATGTCCCTTGTCGAACGACCCAAAAGGTGACGAAGGCCTTCCCTCCGGCTAAGAGCTCTGGCAAACCGACTCTGCCTAGACTTCATGTTTGGCTTTGTCAGCTTTCCCAAGGTGGCGATCAGCATCAGAAAGGCCAGCGATCTGATGTGCCTAGGCTGAGGAAGAACAACAAAAGCAAAAAGAAACCAAGGTCATGACAAAACCCAACTAGAAAAGGCGCGTATCAACAAGAAAATCGCGACCAAACACGTCCAGGAGCACGTTTGCTTCCGCCCCACCCATTCCCACTGGCCAGAACTGGCCCTGCCTGTAGCTCCGGGAAGTCTCGCTCAGCGCGGTCCCAAAGCTCTCGACATAGCGCGACCTTGTGACAAGTCAAGTCTCGATACGAGACCTGGAACACTCGGCTGGGGCAGGGGTGAAAACTAAGCCACCAGGAATTGGACCGCGGGTTTTAGTCCATGCAAGGGCAACGCATTTAGGGTATCTGTTTTTGACCTACTGCCGTCCGGGCCAAAAACATGCAGAAGAAGCCAAAACCGAGTGTCCCCAGAGTCGATCCCGCGAGCCGTTCGGAACTTTCTGGACCGCAAGGCCCAGGGCCGGCATTGGCCTCCCAAACCTATCCCCGTCACTCACCAACACTCGCCTCCTCGGCGGGCGCGTGCACCGGTGACGCCGCGCTGCAGCGGCGCAGCACCTCCCAGTCCTCCGAAGTGACCTCCCGCGAAAGCGCCGTGCCAAACACAAAAAATAAAACAAACAAAAGTAATATGAGAAAAAATCGGTCAACTGTTTTAAAATCAAATCCCCCAGTGAACATCCAAATCCCCACTAAAATAGGCTCTAAAATGGGTGGTGAATTCACCTGCCCCCAAAATGGGATCCCGTAACGGTTTTGACCCACAGCCATATGAATCCACCAACCGGTTTTATTATTTGCGGGTGTTCTCCAAAAGTGGTCTGATTCCAACCAAACCCAGGGATGTCTCCCAGTTGGATCGACCATCCTGTTTATTAGATTGGGGGTCTGGTGGGCGCGTTGCATTGACTTTTTGCTTGTAATGCAAAGCCACAAGCCAACGCGCATGTGAAGAAGAAACAATTTCGCTTCTGTTGATCAAACCCAAGCCAAGTACAGCTTCATTGTGCAACCCAGATCAATCTCATCCGAACAAATCATACCTTGTGTGAGCGTGGGATATCTTCCATGCCAGGGCATTGTTAAACACATCTGGCCAAAACATGTGGCGTGCATGTTCAACCGTCAAACGTTGAGAAGAATCTCTGTTTGGAGGTTGCCATGTCCCTGCCATCATGGGGGTGGGCTTTGGCAATTTGGGCTAGTCGCCGCGCAGCGATCTTGCAGACCAGCTGTTCTTCTGAAAGTCGGGCCCAACAACCCCAACTGAAAATTAGGGAGCCTTCCATGTTGGTTTTCTCTTGGTTTCGCCTCAAAACCATCCAAAAAGGGACCTTTTTGAAGAGAACATGGGGGGCAAACCAACTTGCCCACGTACAAATAATTATATGCACACGTCTGTACTTCTTCTATCAGATGAATTCCGACCAGGTCTCTTCTACCTTGCAAGCAGAAACATCCACCCTGCGGATGGACGAAATCCTGCACCATTTGGAAGACACCATGCTGTTGTTTTTGGGTATCTACAGGGAAATCATCATTCCAGGGTTTCTGAACAGTGGTGCGACATGGATTTCGTCCATCCATCCACAGTAATGTTGACCCCATATGAATCAACCCCTGCTTATTCGTAGGGGGGGGTGCTTTTTCCTGGCTTTAATGGTTGGAATTCACTTTTAGAGAACACCCCCAAATCATAAAACTGCTTGGTGGATTCGTATGGCCATGGTCAAAAGCCCGTACCCCCAGTGAACATCCCAATCCCCACTAAAATAGGTTCTAAAATGGGTGGTGCAGCTGCCCCAAAATGGGATTGCATTGGCTTTGACCCACAGCCATATGGGGTCAACCTCATCCAGAACCGGCTGAGGGATCAAAAAAAACTTTTTAGGCGTCAAAAAAACTTATTCCTGAAGATCAAGAAAAACTTATTAGGGAACAAAAAACTTTTTCTCTTAGATTTCCTGCTAAGATGAAAACTCCGAGGATCAAAAACAAACTTGTCAGGGATCAAAAATACGTCTTCATTTCGTGGCATGCGCAGCACTTTCGCAAGGTCAGGTACAGGCTTTGTGGCAGGCGCAGCACTTTCGCAAGGTCAGGTACAGATTTCGCGGCAGGCGCAGCA